TATATATATATATATTTTATTCTCCACATAATGAAAGCAACTGTGAGATTTCACAAGCTATGACTCGACCAGAGAGTCAACTATCTCCTTTCATTTTCAAAGCCTATCAGAATGTAACACAACACAACCAAAAACCCCCCAAAAAACAAGAGAAACAACCTATCAAGTGTTTGCAGTCATCTGCTTCCCTAACTTCTAAACTGTACCACTTCTGTTACATTTTCAAATGATTATTTTTTCCAAATAATCAAGGAAAGGTTAATGGTTATTTTCACAATTAGTTCCAGATGTTTACCATTTTTTTCTGACGTCCTCAGGAAGATCATGTCAGCAGGGACTCGCTGGTTCTGTTACAAAAAGAAAAGCTGTTAGTGTGTATACACCTACGCACATGTATATAACTCCGTTGCCCTGTGACACAAAAACCTGTTTTTTTTTAGAGCATATTTAATCCTTTGTCCATTTGGGGTTCAGGATTTTTATTTTATTTTGAATCCTAAACCAGGATCTCTTCCTTGTCAATGTGCTAGTTCACTGTGGAAATACAAAGGCTGAAAAATATTAGGAGCCAGCTCCTGTTAATTTCAAGGGTGCTGACTCAGGCTCTAAATTTTCAAAGAACTCATCTTTAGCTCTGGAGATTCTCAAAAGCAGTGGTTCCCAACCATTTTTATACTGCGGACTGGCAAACTCATTCAAAAACTGTTGGCAGACCAGCACTGAAATGTTTACATATTCATTATGGTAATTAATTTGCACATTTGCACATTCATTATAGTAATTTTAGAAGTCATGTGTTACTTTACATTGCATCTGTACGCACACAATATATGCCATTAACTGATTTTTTATTAATCCCCTGCCAAAGTACACACATTCCACCTTAAAAAAATCATACTAAAAAATCATACACTTAATAATGCATAATAATAATGTGTGTGCACGCTGGCTGGGAGCAGCTGGAGACTGTGGGAAGCACCCGCTGAGTGGGAAGGACAGAGAACGGAGTTGCAGGGGCAGCTGCCCTCCATGCGGCGCTTGGCCCTAGTATGAACAGCCTCAGTACAGCCCTGGCTCCAGCTTCAGCACACACAGCTGAGCCGCTCACACTGTTGCTGCATGGAGAAACAGGCAGGAGGAGAATTTTTGGTGCACATGAAAGTGCGCACCTTATGGGGAACCCCAGTGGGTGGGGCTCAATAGCAACAAGGGGTGGAGCCTGGCAATGTGCCATGGCCTGGCTGGCAGGCAGGTTCATGGACCGGTGGTTGGGAACCGCTGCTCAAAAGAATCCAGCATAAGGAGCTTAAAAGTCTGCTGTGGCTTCCAGAGCTCTATGCTGTAAAAAGACACGTGCATGTGCCTTATTTTACACAGGGTTCATTTTTGTCCTCAGCTGTACACGATATTTGTTATATTACTGCTGGTAGACATCTACAGAGACAGAAAGTAGAAATCCATGCAAACCATCCGCTGAATGAAGGGGAAAGGAATAATTTCTTAACTCATAACAGAGGTCATATAAATTATATTAGTTTTGTAGGTTCTCAATTTCCAGTCAACTATGGACACTTATAATTTTGTGCAAGGGACTCTCCATAAAGCTTCATATAAGGATAATATATTTGTGCACGCAATATAGGTACCTATTCAGGGCAAAAGGGGTCCTGGTATATCCAAACACTCAGTTACAAATGTTTGAATGTGCTCATGCACATTCTGTTGATGCATTTGGATCAAGAATGTGGCCTATTACAAAATGGAGAACCATGTAAGGGTTTTAATCTTGTCATGCAGAAATAAGTAGGAACCTCAGATCACAGACTTCTTCCTTAGAGATATTTGTTTCAATTTCTAGAAATGTTGAGAATTATTTAATACAGTATATAAATTATGGAAAACAGAACTAAAAAAAGAGAGAGCATCACTAAACTCTAGATCTCTATTTTAGCCACTGTAAAATACATGACAGATTTTAAATATTCATAGTGATTATGTGAGAAGAGTATTTTACAAACTAATTCCTCCACCCTCACATACACACAACTAATACAAATTCACACAAACCTTTTCAACAATGATAAGGTCCCCTACTTGGATACTAGAACTCTTCACCTTCACAGTTCCTGGAGAAGTGAAACAAAATTCAGTTAAGTTACAACCTTTTCAGCAAAAGATACAGTATAAATATACAGCTAAGCAGGACCAAAGGTCCATCAAAGTAATACTGGAAACTCTCTGGGAATGTTTTAAATTGGTTATTTTGGAGGTGGCCAGTAACAGTTCTATAATACAGAGAGCTAATCCATACTACTTCTACTTGTTGCTTTAATTAGAGTTGTAGAGGCCTATGCTTTGGTGCTAGAAATATGAGGTTCAATCCCCAGTGAAAACCAGAAGGGTGAAGTCATTCCATTATTTTTAGCATCCATGAATTTAAAAAGGTTTTCAGAATTTCCATTATGCAGCCTATGGTGCAACAATGAGAATGTAACAGGCAGCTATGAGTTTCTGGTGTTTCTTTTCAGCAAGGTGGGTGGAAAATTAAGGTTTATATCTTCAATGTAACACATGAACACAATAATTAAAACAGACACATCAACATTAACTCAAGGTTCATTTCCTTTTTGTATTATAACCTTATAGCAGGCTCAATTCTGAGTCATTCCTTTGCATCAAGGAGAAATTTGTCTGAATAAACACTGCAGGATATGCCCCCTAACAAGAATATTTATTCCCTTGCTGTTGTCAAGCATTTTTCATCAGTCATTTTAAACCAGAGAATGAATTTGACAATTGTTAGTAATTTTAAATAATTAGCCAATTCTAGATTTGGCTTCTCATGATTACTTGTGATTTATCAATTAGTTTGAACTCTGCTTTACATGGCTGCCTACCATACTAACAAAAGCCTCTTTAATCAGTAGTGGTTTGATAGAAGTGGGGAGACTTGTGGGTGTCCATGCCAGGCAGAACCCCAAAATGGACAACACTCCCTTTGTAATTTGCAATTCACTTGCTATCTGGCCAGCTCCTGCCTCAGAAAGTTGGTGGGGGAGGGGAAAGTGTGTATGTGTGGGGGGGAGAGGGAGGGTTTAAAAAAAAGGAAATTAGCACAAAGCACAAAGGTCACCAGGATTTTACTACTGGCAGTCCCTTCATTAGCATCCCTCTCAGGATATGCTTCAGTGTTTCTGCTCCAAATTAACAATGAAAGCCATTCTAAGCTCCTGAGCAGCCTGCTGCTCTGGTGACACACTGTGTCCTGAACAACATACCTCATCACTGTTGCTAATAAATGTAGACTTCCTTACGTGCTTTAATTACGGCTACAAATTATAAGCCGTCAAGGTTCATTTACAAATATCTTGTAGGTCTTCACAGATCTCAAGTTTTGGCTCATGAGAATTATAGTTAACTAAGATAAACAAAATGAATCCTGGGATATTGAATCCATAGCTAGCGGGGCAGGCAGCATACCAAGGGATTAGAGTCCATTACCTTCCATGGAGAGGCTTAAAGGAAACGCAGCCCTTCAAAAACATCACTTCTAGCCCCCGCCTCTATGTCTTATCCGAGATGAGATATTAGGACACTAAAATGGCCTGGTAGGTCACATCTCTGAAGTGGGTTGTACCCACAAAAGTTCATGATACCGTCTACATGTTTTGTTAGTCTTTAAGGTGCTGCTAGGCCATTCATTGTTTAAGTTCCTCCTCCTAATAGAGAACACTAGCAAATAAACTGTACAGCAAAGGAAGCCCTAGGTCAGGGATGGGGAACCTCAGTCCCAGGGGCCACATCTGGATCTGGCCCCGGAGGCTCAGTGCCCACCCCCTGTATTGGGGAGCCTGTCCTGGCACTCCAGCCCCCCACTGCCCCACCATGGGACTGGAGCTCACAAAATCTACTAGGCTAGGTCCCCCTAGGCTCTGGTGTGCAAGGGGAACGTGAGGAGTGTCTTTCTCCCTCTCACTTAGTCACCATGTCAGTTTCGACTGATTTTTCTGGGGTCAACGGCCCCCGACCTGTAAAGGGTTCCCACCCCTGCCATAGGCAGTGCTTCCTCAGCTACAGAAGTTCCCAAATCATGGCGCACACCGCACTTAATGTGGGGATGTGGAGAAGTGGGTGGTCAGAGGGTGCTGCCCCCCTCATTTCCAGCTTCTAAATTTAACTGGAAGTCATTTAAAAATACTGTACATACTCTCCTAGCCTCACTTTTCAATGTGAGCCACAGGGATGTTAGGCAATCATGAGTCCGAGGGGAAATGGTCTGTGGGATTGCAAATGGAGAGGAAGTGTTAATGAGACAAGCTAAATTAAAACCTGTTTCACACTAGGAAAAAGCCTGAAAACACCCAGACATTACCACTTTTCAACTTCCATCACCATCACATGCATAAAAAGCTTTATGGATCCTCATTCATGTGTGTCCGGGAAATGACAAACAGTCTGCTACAAGTTAATACATTTGAGCATTACACATGGACTCATCCCATAAGAATCTCAAAGTTGGCACTTTTAAGGAAAAAGGGACAGATGACAGAAATAGTTTTCTAACCAATCTGCAATCTCTAAAGAAGCCTTTTGGGTGAAATATACCCCCTCCTTTTCAACTAGCAACGCTAATTTTATTTACCAACCAAATTCATGGCCCCTCATGGATGACATCTTATGGCAAACACCATATGTCACACTAAGAAGACAGGACCAGATGTTTCCTTTTACTCAGGACTCCCATAAAGCAATTTACCAAAATTAGTTTTATTTTAATCTTGGGAATTCCGTAGGTTTTTTTTAAAAAAAATCAGCTACTGAATGCTGACATTTTCTTACGCCCATTTGAGATCTTCAATAACACAAATGCATCGATATCATTCTCAGTGTCTTTCTACTGTTGTAAAAAATTAAGATATATTTTATATAAATATGGTTGCTTTTATAATTGCATGAGAGAGTACTGTTCTCTGACAAGCCACAATGTACATGGATTTTTGAGACCACCCAGATTTAACAAGGATTTAATATTTAAAGCATTTTTAATTTTATTTTTAAGCCTCCATTTTCTGAAGTTAATTATAATGCTTAACACAAAAATTCAGATCACAAAATCCTGCTCCATTATGTTTCATGATCTGAAAAAAACTTTTTTTTAAATGACATTGGTGTCGTTTTTAAAGTAAGAGACAGGACTTTTTTCATTTTCCTAAACAAAGCAATGTGTATGCCCCTTCTTGTACACAAAAACAAATATCATTCCTTCAAGTTTTTGGATATTAGCTTTTGATGTACTTGAAACATATTAACCGCATCTGACAAAAAACAGAAAACATGCCTACTAGCATGGAAATATTTCACTCCACCGTGCAGCCGTGGGCTTTTGAATTTCCACCAGATTCGCTGCGTGATAAACATGCCATTATGAAGATTATTTAAAGTGTCAAGCATGCTAGCAAGAGGAAATGTCTCTATTTGCCTTATAAAGGTCCTACATGGAGATTTGATATGAGATTTCCACAGCCTTTATCACAGCAGAGATCAAAATACTCTATATTCGGAATTAAAAATTGAAGCCAAATGTTTATGAAAACAAAACAAATGCACCCTACAATCAGAACTAGCTTGTTTTTATCCATTTCATTACACTTTTGGCTTATAAAGACTAACACTATAAAAAACTGTGAAGCAGAGCAGAAAGGGGTTGGGAAAATATTTTTATATGGCTGGTAAATGCCAATGATCTGTATCTTAAGGTGCACTCCCTTTTTAGGAGTTCTTTTTACATTTCTTACTATTTGGGTAGTTTCTCTATTATACTCTCCTGCTCAGGGAAGGGAAAAAATTGACAGAAAACAAGAATAATCCTGGAACTGTAAGCAAAGACTTAGCTATCAAGCAGAAACTCAATTTACAGTTTTATAACAAAAGAGGTCCTGTAAGTTTTGTGAATAAGGAACTGAAATTTGATTTTTGCCCATTACAATTATAACAACTGCTCCGTAAAACATTAAACTTTCTAGAAGGTTGCTGATTTTAAATAAAATATTGAAGCGATCAAAGAGGTAACAGCAGCAACCCATTAAAAAAAAGACAAAATAAGCTCAGTAATGAGTGTTTTCTTACACAGAATAAAGGATCCATCCCTCTAGAATCAGGAACTTATTAATTTACTAGCGGGAGTTGCACGGTGTTGCTCGGGAAAGTGGAGGAACAACATTTAGAAAAACAGTAGACTATTGTTTTTTGAATGGTAGAAAAGTTGCACTGACTTCTATAGGGGATTAAAATATATTTTAAAAAAGTATAAAACAACCAATTTTACATGTTATCAAAAACTGTATTGTAAACTATATTTTTTGTTTCATTATTCTTAAATATGTACAAATTTTTTCCACTTCCAACTCTTGAACACACAACATGGAGTTGTCTATGTGAAAAGCAAGATGTCTCCAAATCAAGTCCAACTGCTTTAAGTGACTGTCCTTGCACTTTTGTCAGTATACATTGTTGAAATATAAGTCGACAGTTGATATAACTGAGGTGAGGAGCCTGAGGGGAGGGAGGGGGAAGAGAGTTGCGTGCCTGCTGCCGGAGCCCACCCTCCGCTTCCTTGTCCCGCCACCGGCCTTAATGAGTGACTGGCCCCGCCACTTCCCCGGGGAAGCCGCTTCTCCCCGCACTGCCAAGCTCCGAGCAGCCCCGCGGAGAGATGTTGGTCTCTCATCTCTTCCCTCCCACAGTCCCTTAAAACCTTGTCCTGGATGAAAGGTTACCCCATGCAAAGTTTGATTGTGGTAGCTCTTATAGTGTCCAAGTTATTAACACACAAACATTCTCCTTTATATATCAGATTATTATACCAATACTGGAGTTTGGTTACTATGTTCCAAATAAGAAAGGATCCAAAGAGGAGTCTCCCTTTTTTGCTATCAAGAAAGCAGCTTACTGAATCTCAAAGGGTTTATCCAAAAGGATGTGTTAGAAAATTAGTGAACAGGAACAAAACTGCAAGTCACAAATAACTGCAAAATATCAAGGCTGTTGCAGTACGACATGCTGTAGAGCTCTTTATGTTTGGCTGGTGAAGTAAGTTGTGTTTGGAAGTGCATTAACAAAAGATGACTCAAGAGAACAGAAAACTCAGATTTTTGCAGAGAAGCAAATGGCAGGAATTCAAAGGAGGAGAAAGATGCACACAAGAAGACTAAGAGGATGCTAATTTAGAAAAACATATAAGCCTCTTTTTAAGACTATCCCTTTTAAGGGAAACACTTAAGCATGTGCTTAAGTGTCCCTGACTAAGGTTGTGTTTAAACTGCCGCTTAGATCTGCAAAACTTACATCACCCTGCGGAGTGTGAGGAAAAAAATCAATACCTAAGCAACACAAGTTTTGCTTACATAAGTGGTAGTTTGCAGAGCACTATGTCAGCTGTAGAGTTTCTACCACCAACTTAGCTAACCACTGCTCATTGGGAGTGGTTCATTTCTGTTAACAGAAGAGCTCTCTCCCATCAGCACAGAGCAGCTACACAAAGATCTAACAGTGGCACAGCTGCATTGGTACAGATCTGCCGCTTGAATGTCTCAAGTGTTGATACAGGCATAAGTTTATGCCTAACCCTGACTAAGCTGCCCCATAGGGCAGTGGGGAGAAGAGAGAAAAACTACACCAGAGTTCTCATTTTTGTAGCAATTCAGAGACATTCTACAGCAGGGATTAGAAAATTCATCAAGAAATTGTCATGAGAAATTAGTTCTGCCATAGTTATTTCTCAAGGATAGCATACTTCAGACAGAAACTGAGAGACTGAGTCATTCATACAAACACATGAAATCAGGTGAGATCATCCATGCTATCACATACTCAAAAGACAATCTTGGACCAAAAAGTTAATCTAAATATCTGGAGTTTTAGGAAATTAAATGATAATTAATTAATTAAAATTAATGGTAATAAGACTCCAGTATTAGTATTACTTTCATACACCTGGGCTACATCTACACTGGCCCCAAATTCCGGAAAAGGGATGCAAAGCAGGTAAGTCAGAATAGGGAAATCTGCGGGGGATTTAAATATCCCCTGCGGATTTAAATAAACATGTCCGCCGCTTTTTTTCCGGCTTTTTTTCCTACTTTCAGGTAGGAATAAGAGCTCCTCCGGAAAGGGGCTTTATTCCAGAGGATCGCGCCAGTCTAGACGCTTTTTTCCAGCTTTTCCCCAAGCCGGAAAAAAAGCGGCGGACATGTTTATTTAAATCCGCAGGGGATATTTAAATCCCCCGCAGATTTCCCTATTCTGACTTACCTGCTTTGCATCCCTTTTCCAGAATTTGGGGCCAGTGTAGATGTAGCCCTGGGGCCTGACTGAAGTGTTGAACCTTTTAGTTCCTGGAGATTGACAATCATCTCCCTGAAGTTACTAACTTAAATTCTTATTGTGTGACATGGCTTAAATTTTTCCCAAAAACTGCTGTGCAAATACTTTTTTGTGAAGTTCAGAGAATTACCACTCAAGTGCCCACTGCACATTCGAGGCTTTCAAAAATGGTTTCATGAGTCTCTTTTTCTATATTCTGTTCTGACTGGACTACTGTAATGTCTTCTTATTTTTACCTCACCAGATAGACTTTAAAAATTAACAAAATGGCATGTATAATACACTAGTGTCCAGCTGCCCATCCCACTCAGTTTCTTTCAAGAAATGGTGAAGTTAAGGGGGGGGAGGGGGGAAGATAGATCATTCATGGGAAACGTAATTGCAATATGAAAAGAACTAAGAAAAGGTCAGGCCCCTTATAGATCAATGAATAGAACACAGAAGGCAACTCTTTTATACATTTAAATAGACGTAGTAAACCCCTCTCTGAGGGGACTTTTGCTGGTTGCCAAGCATTTTAAATGTTGTAGTGAGAACATGTTATTAAAAGGGGATTTAATATTCAGCAATGGCTTATTCCACAGAAGCCTCACGGTTTCTGGCCTGTGAAGTATGCATAATCTTAAGCATTTACATGTAGACGACGACTTGGTTCTCAAAACTGCAAAAAATGTTCATAGCATGAATCACACATGCAGCTTTTTTTTTTTTTTAAATACATGTTCATATGACTGCACCTTGAAACTGAGAGGTTACAGTTTTTATTTCAAGTAGGAGGGCTCCCTCAAAAGAAGCTACTTAGTTTAAGCTCACTCACAATTAAAAAAATGTGACGGACTGCATTGATACTAAGGCAGCACTGGTAGCAACAACATGGTTAAAACTATTGTTCTTCAGTAAATGTGGGATTTAAGCTTCTTTGTTAAGCAGAATAAAGATAATGAGGAGAACTCAAAATCATACCACTGATACTTAGAGTGCACTGCTTTTTTGAGAAAGTCTGAAGTTATTCTATCCTATAGGTTAACTGTCTGGAAGTGATCATCTGAAATATGTAGATCTATTGCCTATTTTATTTTTGATTCATCCACATTTATAAAAAACTTAAAGTCTGAACTATTCAGAGTTCAAGGGAGAGGCAGCTAAACAAAATGTATTAAAAATACACAAATTATCTGTACCCCAGGTTAATGTTTCTACACTGTGACATAAATCATATTTGAAAATGTTAGTTGAATGTCAACATGCAATATTGTTTCACAACAAAGCACTGGTACGTAACACACTAATATGTGATCTTTTTGGCAAAGAGAGTTAAGTAGGGGTGACAGGGTTATGGAAGGTGTGTGCCCAGTAGATCTCTGTAGAAACTGGAGTTTCGTACATACCTAGCTGGCATATCCTAAGATAAGCAACAGCAGAATTCTTTTATGCCTCCTGCATACTTCAGAGAGGAGAGCATGACACCGTGCTTTTCTCTATGCACTCTCCAAAGAGCTTAGTAGAAAGTATTTCCTACCCTAGCCTGTGATGCTTTCAGGGCTCCATTTCTTTCATATGATCATAAACACACACGCTAAACTTAAGAGTTCAAAAAATACCCAATACCATAATTACCATTTAAAACTTAAGCATACAAAAAACCATCTGAAAAATAATGAAATAGCTTATGTACATTTTTGGTACCCCACCTCACAAACCTGGTTTAGTGATATTAACATCTTAAAAAAGTCATCTTATACTTTATAACTAAATTAACACTGATATATATACTTATGAGCTTCTTCAGCATTTAGGTTATTAATATACTTTATAGAGTTATAAGAAGAGCAAAATTAATAATGCATATGTTGAAAAAGTTCCTAGTATGTTTAGTGGAGTCACAGCTAAGGTAACAGACTAGGTGAATTTTCATGTCATAGTTAAGTGTTGGGGTAATAATGAGTATGTATGTAAATTATCTTAACGAGTTATACTGTATCCTAACTGCCCCTAGATGCTGCTGAAGCAGCCCCCCAAGTTTCACCTTTGTCCAGCTGGAGTCTGGAAAGTTTTTCAAGCCAAGACAAGGCTATTAGAACATTTAACTGTCACCAACAACCTGCAAATTTTTTGCTTTCTTTAGTTATCAATGATTATGCTGTAATTGGGTATTTTGTATCAGCACTATATTTACTTCAGCAACCTTATTAAAATCGCTGGGAAAATCCTTCACTGCTTACAGCAAAGTACATTATTTCCTTCCAGACAAAGGACAAGCAAGGAAATGTACCTGGAAAACAAAAGTATTATGGAAAGCCTCGTGCATGGCTACTCATGTGAATACAATTTAATTTTGAACCTCTGGCCGATAGCTAGCACAGGCTTCATTCTCAAACCATTTCACTTCCTGCACTTGGATCTCCCTCCCTCCTTTCGGCCCCCAAGAGACCTCACTTCCTTTAAAGAATGTTGCTCCCATCAGGCCATTCACTTATAATTAACCAACTAAAAGATCTATAGTAGAAAACCCCAAACAATTTTCATTTTCCAGGTTCCATTTTCTCCAGCACACCATGGCACCACAAACACCAGGTCAGGGCACAGGTTTTACAATGGGCTGTGATCCTCCTGAAAGTTCAGCTGACATCTAATGTTTGCCTGGATTGATGTGTCTGCGTGTAATTTAAATTTATGAAAAGGAACTACATCTTTACATTTAGCCTGCACCGCAGCAAATGCAGCATCACGTAGACTATAAATAAAATAGTGAGATTCTGGCCACTTTGCACAGAGTGTGCCCCAGAGTTACTTGAAATAGCTTGCCTGTTCACATTTGCTCTTGATTTATTTCCTAGGTAACATGCAGTAACAGGCAGCTTCAATTGTAGTTATGCAGGAAGCTATCTGCAAGTCTACCAAGATGTGCAGATGACTCTCCAGTGCTAAAAGCAACAAAGTGGACATTAAGCCACGTGCCAGCATGCCTATAACCCTCCCACCCTTCTTGAACTCTGCTTCTCTGACTGTCAGCAACATTTGATTGAGTTGCAACTCCTGCTGTTCCAGCAGTCTGCTATAGGATACAGTGGGCAGGGGCAGAGAGCAGGAGCCAAAGAGCTGACCTCTTGCTGTGAGCTTGCTGTAGATCTGGGAGTTTACTTCCTTGTCGCGTGTGTAACATCGGATCTCCTCCACGGCTTCGCGAATGATGGTAACTGCAAGAACAAAACCCTGAAGGGGGAGGAAGGGGGAAAAGAAGAGAAAAAAAAACCTAAATAGATAAAGTGACCAGAAAACATCATCTCCTCAGATTTGTATAAGGCACAATACTGATCAATGCCCATGCCCTTATTCCATGTTTTCATCTTGCTTCCCTGGCGTATTATTGCTTACTCTCTAAGATGATGGGTGCTATACAGAATCTGGATAGGAAGATAAGGATAGACTCACATTTTTAAAATACAGTTTTATTTCTAGACTTTCTATACTGCTTTCCAGGCACATCACAAAAAAATGTATCCTCACATCACCCTTGCGAGATAGGGAAGTTTTATTTCCATTTTACAGCTAGGAACTGAGGCACACAAAAATGAAGGCCTGGATCCTAAAAGGTACTTAGGTGCATAACCCGGTCTACATCTAAAAATGAAGTCAACCTAGTTATGTTGCTCAGAGCTTTGGAAAAATTTCTCATCCTGCACAGTGTAGTTAGGTTTACCTAACCTTTACTGCAGACACAACCAGATTAATGGAAGAATCCTTTCTTGGATTTGATTACTGCCTTTTGGAGAGATGGATTATCTACAGTGATAGAAAAACCCCTTTCTGTTGAGGCTGTAAGCGTCTGTACTGAGGCTCTACAGAGGAACAGTTGCAGTGCTATAGATGTGCTACTACAGTGTAAATATGGCTTCACATACCACCACCCCAAGAATTCAGTGGGAGTTAGATCCCTATATACATTGGAGGGTCTGGGCATATGTGACTTTCCCCATATCACACAGGACACCCACTGCACTGCCAGATCTCCCAAGACCTTATCCTGTGCCATAAACACAAGGCCATTCAAGATAATTCATCTAATTGGAGCCCTGATCCTACAAACATACATATGCCTAACTTTATTACCATAAGTATTTCCTCCAAATTAATATGACTATTCACCATATTAAATCATTGGCAGGATTGAGGCCTACTAGATCCTTCTCTTCTATAAATGGGAGGAACTAGTTCAGTTCCTACAGCAAGGAGAACATGCACATCATGCTCTTAGTATTACCCACATTTAAAAATAAGCAGAGTTCAGACAAATCAATTCCCTTTATGGGCTAGTTTCACAAACTCATTTGCTACTAGGCATTATCCAGCTCTGATTCGCTACACTGCTAAATCTGGCATATCAATGAACAAGGCTGAAAGTGTTCTACTCTTATGTGACAGTTCACATTTCATAATCCTGTAACTAGCTAGCAGGTATCTTCTCAACAAATGTATTAGTTAGTTGTCCAATAAAACTTTGATTGCCTAACAAAGTTTGATAGTTGCAACATACAATTAGGGTTGCCAGGTGTCCAGTTTTTGCCCGGACAGTCCGTTATTTCTGGCCCGTCTGGTTAAAAAACAAACAAAACAAAACAAACTCCCTCACCCACCCACCCAAAAAAACCCAGAAAATACTGGACATGTAAAATGTCCAGTATTTTCTGTTTTTCTGGGACAGAAGGCTGGTGGGGCTGCATCTGGAAGTGAGGAGTGTGGGGATTCTTAAAGCTGCAGCAACCTTCTTTTGGTTGGCTTTTTTTTTTTTGCTCAACAAGTTTGGTCTCCTAGTTTTTGTTTTTTGCTCAACCAAGTTTTTTTCCTGCCATGGTCGGGAGTTTTAGTGAAAGCATCTGGCAAGCCTATGTACAATAAAAGACAAAACCATGCACAAATTTATAAATAGTGTAGGAAAGTGTCTGGGAAGTAAATACCTAAACAAATGGGTAAGATTTCCCAACATGGCTAATGAATTTTGGGTGCACTAGAGAGGTTTTCAGAAAAAAAAAAAAAAAAAAAAGGAAGGAAACCATCTTTGTTGCTTATTTTTACCTTGCTTTGTGGATCAGTAATCTAAACATTTCGGGTATCAGAATTTCAAATAATCATCCACAAATATTCCCACATGTCCTGCCTCACTATGCCATCATGTAGGTCATTCTATACCGAACACTTTTATCAGGAGGCAGTGACGAACAAAGACTTTTCTTATACAACTCTCTGGAAGCTAATATGCTGAACCCTAATTGCTCATGGGGCCCAAACAAATCACAATTGCTGATAGGGATCTATAAAAAAACCATAGAAGTGGGAGGATGGAATGAGGGCTTGTTCAAACTAGTTTTTACACTCATTTTTTTCTAAAATGAGCAAATACAATATCTTTGTCATAAGCACATTCAACCAGACACAGGGTTGACTATGAGCAGAGTTTTAGCAGCAACTTCATTATATTCTTTACTTGTGGTGTATCAGTTTGCTTTTGAAAACACCATTATCAAATTGCAGTACATTGAATGGAAATAATTTTCCTAATCCAGTTGAAAATGAAGAGAATATTTTACCATCAATACTGCAGGAATTTTACCAGTAATTTCCAAAGAGCAGACTAAAAATGTAGTCTTTATTACTCTGGCTCTATGACTATTTTAAAGATGTTTTGCTTCCTATCTTAAAAGCAACAAGTTATATCCAAGAATTTCTAAAACCTGGTGGAAGATCCAAAGAAGTGAAGTGGTAATCTGAAGTGAGCAGTGCCCACGAAAGCTCAAGATACCACCTTCATGTTTTGTTAGTCTTTAAAGTGCTACCCTATTTGTTGTTTTTCAAGTTTATCCTGTACAGACGAACTTGGCTACCCCCTGAAGCAAATAATCACAGTTCGTTTGCAGCCTTGCTGAAGGAAGGAGGACAGTAGCACAGGCTTGATGCAAGTGTATCCTGCTATTTGTTTACTAAAGCTGAACTGTTAAATTACTTAAAATACTATGCAGAAAACACAGGGCACTTCTTGGTGATTAGCTACCAGCTGACCTCAGGGGCAGAAAAGGACTGTACACTCCAAAGAGGCTGCTTACTGGAAGTGGAAGGAGGGAAAAATGAAGTGCACAGATTAAGTGGCTATTGTAGCTTCAATCGACTTGTGCAGTACATTCCTATGTGCATTGGCTAGGTAGTTTAAGTCATCTTATCATACCATTCTATGACTCCTTATTGTGCCTATGTAATCCTTTCCCTCTGGTGTACCACTGCTCCCCAGCCTCTTGTCTCCCTTCCCTTTTTTAAAACTCACTATCCCCTTTTATCTGCTCAGCTCCTAAGCACTTATTTCTATCACCCTAGAAAGTCAGCTTTGAAGTCCAACACCCAGAGTTTTAGAATTGCTTGCACACACAAATGTCTACAAATGTCTACACACCTTACTGGAGATCTGATATGCGTATCTCATGACTGACCAGGCATGCATACAGACATGCAAATGCATGTAATTCTGAAAATAGGGATATAATTTTTAAAAGTTATCTCCTGGCACACCTTCCCCACTCTAACTTCCACTGGGAAAGTATCAAGGTTCCTCTGAGGCAGCAGACAGCAGAAAGGGCACTTGGTTCACATGCACAGCAAGAGGTATGAGGCATGCAGAAAAGAGCCAGCCAGAAAACATTTGAAAACTCTGCAATAAGGAAGTTATTCACTTCTTCCCGCAGATTTGAGATTGAAATAAAGCCAGGTAGAATTCCTATGGATGCACCAAGAGACCTGCCTACCAACTTTAACAAGAGATGGAAGAACCCATCTCAAATGGTTAGGTGGCATCCCTTCCCAAAACACTGCCGTGAAGTTGACTTTCTGAATAGGTCAGTAACTCTATGGGTATGTCTACATTGCATTCTTCTTTCGAGAGAGGAATGCAAATTCAGCGAACAAAATTGAAAATGAAGCGCGGATATGAATTTCCAGTGCTTCATTTGCATAATTGTGTCCGGCCGCTTTTTTGAAATACCCTATATTGAAAAAAGAAACACTGTCTAGACGCAGTTATTTTGAAAGAAAACCCTTCTTTCAAAATTACCCTTAAGCCTCATTTTATAAGAGTAAGGATAATTTTGAAAGAAGGGTTTTCTTTCAAAATAACTGCATCTAGACAGTGTTTCTTTTTTCAATATAGGGTATTTCAAAAAAGCGGCCGGACACAATTATGCAAATGAAGCACTGGAAATTCATATCCGCGCTTCATTTTCAATTTTGTTCGCTGAATTTGCATTCCTCTCTCGAAAGAAGAATGCAATGTAGACATACCCTATGTCTAGAGTTTTCCCAAAAAACTTCACTTATGTCCACACTGCAATCGCGTTCTTTCGAAGAAAAAAAATTGAAAGAACAGAGGGGTTTTTCCGACATTGGTAAACCTCCTTCTATGAGGAAGAAGTCTTTTTCCGAAAGAGCTCTTTCAGAAAAAGGTGTGTGGGGACGGGGAAGAGGGAGTTCTTTTAAAAGAAGAAGAAAGAAGAAAAAGCATAGGTGCCCTTGTGGCCACTCCATCTATAGCAATCACAGCTTAAATGTGAGATAGCATCCACACTGAATGGACGCTATCTTTCGAAAAAGCAGATCGCTTTTTCGATGCTTTTTTTGGAAGATCTCTTCTGAAAAAGCTTCTTCTGATCGAAGCCTGCAGTCTAGACATAGTGTGCGTGCGTGCGTCCGTGCCAGGGATGTAGAGGTTTCAGGGGGAAGCCTTTGGGGCCACAATGATACTCACAGCACAAGCCAACGGCTGCAACTTAAGTGTGGTCGCATATACATACACATATATATGCAAATTTATGCAAGACTACACAACAAGCAGGCTCCAGGCCTCAGTTCTGCTGATATTAATAAAATGCAATATTTGCCCAGTTTCCTCCCATATTACAGCACTTTTAATGAGCAATGACAGTCCAGGAATTTAACTACTAAAACGCATATCAACAGAAGACCATTATATTGACTCCTTTTTTGTTTTGGTTCCCACCCATGAGCCACATGTTGAGTCCCACACCATGAACCGCAAACAAACAGGCCATGGGTTTAGTAGCCTTGCTCTATACTCTGAACAACTATGAATAAATAAAATGTAAAATATACATATATATTTTCTGGAACTAAAACTGATTTTACAATCAGCCTGTCGACCCATCCTGAGTCTCTAAGTTAAACTGGTAGGTGGAACTGCATGCTTTGCCTTCATTGCACATATGGTCATTCAATAAGATCACTTTTAAACCTGCTCTTTGGTCCTTTTCTTCAGCTGACAAGCGTCTCTGAACTTCTGCTGATTTGCAGCCCTCTTCTGGAATGTTGTGCCAGAGCAAAACGACCCAGTACAATCTCTCAATTTTCACATGTAACTTAGCAACTGTAATCAACATTCATAAAGGCCAGGAAGAGGTTTACTTTATTCTCCATTTATTCTCTCACTTTTTCTGAGTATAAAGTGGGCCCCTTGCCCAAGTGGTAGATATGGTATGTGTTTCCCAGTTGTGTAAGAGGGAAAGAATTCTGCCCCATTAACTCAGATGAAGAGAGTGGTATCATACCTTACTGTCAAACCCTCATGAAGTTAATTTAAAAGCAAGAACAGGCATCTACACTCAGAACATTCAGAAAGTAGACTTCATAAAAATAAGCTGACAAAATATCATGGGACACACAGAATGACTTAGATGGAGAGATAAGGCAACAAAGGACATTTTGTAGTCAAACACTGAAACTTTCTTGAATAAACAAACCTTAGATTACCTACCAAGGGAACCCAATATGTGTAAAGTGCACCAAGCCTCATTTCAGGGACAAACTGAGAGCAGGCCAGAAGCAAGAAGTAAAGATTAAAAAAGTATTTGAACTGGTTAAACAGCACCTACAAAAAAAGAGAGAGAGGAGGGGAGAGGTTAATGGGGATCTCAGAGTTATGCATATTGAACTAGCGATAAGAGACATTCATTTCTGCTAGCTCCCCTAATTTCTAAATCCTAAATAATGGTAGCAAAGCAGTGCTGGGAATAAATTCCAAAAGGTCACCTTAGTGAATACAAGGGCATGCACACAAATGTATCAGATTCTTCAAACATATATATGATTTTACCTTTAAACTTTTGACAAATACCACTCAAAAGTGACAACAACTGTAAGTAGTGGACCCAACATTATGTTTTGCCTTAAAAAATCTGCTAAAGATATATTTAAAACAAATACAGTTTCAACTTGAGCTGTGTTTGAAAGTAGCTCCTCTCTTCCTTGCATATCAAACCACTACCAGTCAGAACTCTGTTTCATCAAGGGGTGGTTTTGTTTTTAAACTGGTGAGAGAGACTGTGACAATGTAAGTTGAAAGCACATTGCACGTGTGGTCTGGCCAGGCATCACTCTGGGTCTCTGGTCAGAGGGTTGTAGCCTGACAATGAAATATTGAAGAGATGCTGACAGGGAACAAGGGCTATCTGCCTGTTTCCATTGCGAGGGAGAAACTGGAGCTAGCAAGAAGCAATGCCAGGCAGCAAAGAACAGCACACCATAGCAAAACACAGACGGGCAACAAGGGGATGTTCAAAAGTTGTCCTAATCTA